GGGCCCGGGGGCTGAAGTTTCTGACAAGTTGGGTTTGATGGAGTGCGCGCCGGATAATTTTTCACGTCCTTGTTTTGTCATTTAGGGCACTTAACGTGTCAGGGAGATCTCGCTGTCCTAAAAGCCTATCTGTCAGCATCGCTGAGTTATTCCAGTAAAAGGCTATCATCAGCAGCGGCGGGCGGAGAGGAAGGAGACAAAACCGAGACAAGTGTGAAGGTTTTCCATCGCGAGCTGCCCGCGCCCGACCTTGAGCCCGCGCCGCTGCGCCCCTCATGTCCCGGGGCCGTGTCCCTGCATCCTGAGCGCCCCAACAGCGCGGACGGGGGCGATGGATCGGGGCTTGGCCCATTCTTTGCTGTAATAAGGGCAGGGTGATTTTTTGGGGGAAAAATGGGAATGTGAGTGAGCCGGCTGAAAGTGAGGGGTGTGAGGGTCCTGGGGCAGGAGCTGGTGTTTGTCCTGATTGGCACTGTTGGCACCCAAATTATGCGGTGTGGAAGGATGAATGGGCTGAGAGGCGCAGGGGAGGCTGAGGAAAGGTGGTGATGGATGGACGGACAGATGGACGGATGGATGACAGGTTGCTCACCCAAAAATCCAGGCTGGCCCCATGCAGTGAGCAGGTTTGGTGTGCTGTGTGTCTGTGGATGGCATTGTGTGCATGGAGGTGGATTCACATTGAATGGATTCCCCCTGTTCTGGGACTGCTGTGCCCGTATTTAATCTACTTTGGAAATCCAGCAGCAGGCCGGATCATAAGAACACGCCGTATAAACGCGTGAAGTATTTGTTCTGAGCACAGAGGCAAATAAAGGAGTTGATGCGACGGATGGGGAGCCCAGGGATGCATCAGGTACAGGGAATTGGGGGGAAATCACACAGGTGCTGTCTGCAAATGAAATATTTCCTTGTCCCACCTTGTTTGGGTCTCCCGTGGTTGGTTCCCCCCGCTCCGAGGGCTCTGCGCACCCCACAGCCGCTCTGCGTCGCTGGCCGGGGCCTTTGGCCAGGTACCCATAACGGGAGCTCGGTGGAGCGCGGGGAAGCGCTGCCTTGTGGTGCTGATTCTGTGCCTTGCTGCGGGTGAGGGAAGCACAAACCATCTCCACACGGAGTGGGTTGGTCCCTGGTGAAGCTCCGGGTGCTGGGAAGGGGCGGCTCGGGGGCTGCCTGCAGTGGGGTATAGTGGGGTCCCCCAGCTGCGGTTTTTGGGGACAGCGGGGCTGTTTTCCCCATTTTACTCTGCTGTCAAGCGGAGCCATTGCACATTCAGGGCGAGGACGGCGTCAAACCTGGCTGGAATCAGCGATGCGGGTTTGCACCTCAGAACTGTGCCGGTAATCCACAGCTGCATTATTAATGCAGTATTAAAAGGACTGGAGGCCCCTCAGCAAATTCCTATTTCAAATAAATAATTACTGGAGCCCAGATAATTTATTAAATTAGATTGAAAGGCCCAGGCGCGCTCTGTGTTTGCCTTGGAGTGATGGGTTTTTTTAACTACTGCATCCAAACATAAGAGTTGTTCACCTCGCCGCGCCGCGGCTGCCGATGGGCTGGGAT